GATGAACTACTTTTAAAAGGTAGTATAAACTTGATTAGGTTTACAATTAGATCAATGGAACAGACTAACCCAGAAACAGACTTTAGTACATACATGAGGAGGAGTTGCGAGTTTCCCTGAAACTCATTTACCACGTCGTTTATTCAGAAAGCTTTCTGCATTGACATCATTTAGTGGCAATTAGAGTCATCCTTCTTCACTACTAGGGGCAGTAGATTTCCTATACTGAGTTGTCAGAACCACAATGATCAGTAATGTGGTAGGCAGTAGAGTGCAGTACTAGGGACTCTTGGAGCTTCCATTTCATTAGTGTGGTCCCTGGAAAGCAATTGGCAACTAAATTTTGAGGCAGAGCCAAATTGACTAATTTTGTTTCTTTTTCTTGGCAGCAGTCACAGAATAATGATGGTTGTGAAATCTCATTATATGGTTATTAATGTAATTTGATTTATGAAATTTAGTTTTCTAAGATGAGTTTATCTTGATATTTTTTTTCTAAATAGCATGATAATGTAATATACTCATGTCCTGGAGAAATCATTAAATTCTGGCTGGTACCCAGATAGCCATTATATTATGCCAGTTGACTAAACTTGGATTTGAGAGGAGAGCATGTATGTTTGGAATGACTTCTTTAACTCACTGATGGTGCTGTATTGCTATTGTAATAGTTAATTTCTTATTTCTCTTTAAGTTGCTAAAGTCTTGTCCTATCTTACAGAAATATGAAATGCAATATGGTTGTAATGTTGTCTAAGGTAGAAGAAGGCTCTTTCCCACAAAATTTCTTAAGGCATAATTATCCAATTGATTTTACCAGAGGCTGGGTTCTGGACTTTTGTCTTACAGGCCCTGAATATAAATTTTGTCATTTAAGGAGATTAGATCATATTTTAGAGGCAAAGTAAAATTAAATTTAGTATTGATGGATGAAATGAGAACATGGATTTGTTAATTTACAATGAGAAATATGGTAAACTGTCACAAATTTTATTATGGCCTTCATGACAAGCCCATTTTCTCCTAGAAGGGAATCATACATAGAAAGCTGCTTGATGTGAATGGAAATAGAAGAGAGCAAGTTAGGTAAATTAAATATTTGTTAGTTTTAAATTAATATAGTGAATTAATGTATCTCCACAATAAGGGTGGTCTTGTCAATAGGCAGTGCTAATGATTGTCCTGTGACCATATCACTCTCTTTCCCTCCTCCTTCCCTTTGACTTTTTAAGGTCAAATTGTTAGTGTTTTCAGATGAAGGAGCCATGGCTTCTGTCCCCACCCATCACTCTCCTGAAATTAACTATTGCTAAAGTTACTAATGACCTTTATCAAATATCTTGGTACAGTAAGGATATAATTATGATACCAAAAGGAGAAATATAAAGACTAATAACATGTTTAATTAATATCAAAATAATAGCAAAATAAATTTTTGTATTTAAATAAAATTGAAAGGCAGATAGCATATAAGGAAAAAATATTTTTGACAGGAGGGCTAACGTCTTCATTAAAGAGGGGATTTTTACAGATTAATAAAAAGACTATTCGAATAGAAAATGAACAGAACACATGAATAGGTCAAAAAAGAATACAAATGTTCAATAAATGTGGAAGAATTTTTCAAATTAACTGATAAGCAAAAGAAAATAAAAATGAGGCACCATTTCTCTGTTGATTGTAATAAGTAACAATAGCAACAAATAGTGACACAGTGCTTACTATGTGCCAGGCACTGTTCTACAGTATAAATACTGAAATTAATCCAACAGTTCTATGAGTGTGTACTATTGTTATCTACATTTTACAGGTTAACAAACTAAGGCACATAAAGCTGAGTAACTTGTCCAGTGTTGCATAACAAAAAAGTGAGAGTCAGGATTTAAATCCAGGCTTCCTGACTCTAAGGTTTTAGTGCTTGTTAACTACTACCCTTTATGGCTTCTCCAGGATTAATAAATAATAACCGGTGTTAAAAGGTTCTCTAGGAACAGGCATTTTTGTACACTGCTGGTTAGAATGTAAGTAGACATTTCTGTAAGACAGTTAAGCTCTATGTTCCTGAATTTTAACATGTGCATATTCTTTGGACAAATAATTTATCCTAAGGAGATCCTTACAATAAGTACATAAAAATGTATGTACAGAAATTTTATCTAAAGTTCTTTTGTAATAGACAATGTAAACAATTTAAATGTATAATAAGAGGATTAGTTAAATAACTTTGGGAAATGCATTCTTTTTTTTTTTTTTTAAAGATTTTATTTATTTATTTGAGAGAGAGAGAGAATGAGAGATAGAAAGCACAGTAGGGAAGAGGGTCAGAGGGAGAAGCAGACTCCCTGCTCAGCAGGAAGCCCCATGCGGGACTCGATCCCGGGACTCCAGGATCATGACCTGAGCCGAAGGCAGTCGCTTAACCAACTGAGCCACCCAGGCGCCCCTGCATTCTTATTGGAGATACTAAAGTAATGCTGCTAATTAAGTCACATAGGAAAAAGTTTGTCTCTCTCCATATACATTAAGTATATACAGTATTTGACTTTCCAAAGCATTCTTGTAAAATTGAAATGTTGTTTTTCTCTTTTTAGTTATAACTATGTCAGATGAGTAAAATTGGATAAAGTTCATTTAACATTGAGTAGAGATTTTAAATACATGTTTTTTAAATGTTTTTAAGTAAGCAAATCACTAGGGAATTAGAATTGAATTAAACATTGTAATTTTTATGGAAGACATGTTTTATCTCTGTTAACTGTTACTTTTTTTAATGTCTAGTATATCTGTTAAGATGCCTTAGAAAAAGAATCATGGAGAAGTATGTTAGACTACAGAAGATTGGAGAAGGTTCATTTGGAAAAGCCATTCTTGTTAAATCTACAGAAGATGGCAGGCAATATGTTATCAAGGAAATTAACATCTCAAGAGTAAGTGTATTTTTTGTTTGGTTATTGAACTAATACACTGATTTCAATAGGGCTTATTGTTAGAGAATTAAAAAAAATATGGCATTGCATAATGTAAAGTGAAAGGCTACCATAATCCCAGAGAGAACCACTAATTTTAGAATAGTCTGTATATCCTTGCAGATTTTTTTCTATGCTGTGTGCTTGTGTTTATGTATTTAGTGTTTTAAAAAAATACACCTACTGTTCTGTAACTTAATCTAGTTTGAACATCTTAAAATGTTTTTACTTGTGGATTCAACTTATTCTTTTTAACTTCTGTCTTTATTTTGTTATTTTGACTGTGCTTTATTGGTACTGTTGTTTTTTAACCACTCTCTTATTGATGGACTTTTAGATTGTTTATTGATGGACTAATTTAATATTTTCTTTTTCTCTCCCATTTAAGATGTCCAGTAAAGAAAGGGAAGAATCAAGGAGAGAAGTTGCAGTATTGGCAAACATGAAGCATCCAAATATTGTCCAGTATAGAGAATCATTTGAAGGTCAGATAAATTTTGCAAGAGAGTTCAAAAGAACTAAGCCATATGACAGCTTTTGGATATTTTACTTATGATGTATTTTCAGGGAGAAAAGTATATCATTTTTGCTTCAGTACATATGCATATGAGTATCAGCTTGATCCCAGGGTAATACAAATGTTACTGGTGGGAGAGTATGCATTGTGTGAATGGAGGTCTCAGTCCTTGGATTCCCTATGAGAAGATTTGCATGGTAATCTGTGCTCTAATAAAGATGGCTAGAAGGAAAGTAGCAAGCACAAAGCAGTTTATTAAAATGAATGTACAGGGGCGCCTGGGAGGCTCAGTTGATTAAGCATCTGCCTTTGGTTCAGGTCATGATCCCAGGGTCTTGGGATCGATCCCCGCATGAGGCTCCCTGCTCAGCGGGGAGTCTGCTTCTCCCTCTGCCTCTGCTGCTTCCCCTGCTTGTGCTCACTCTTGCTCACGCTTGCTCTCTCTCTCTCTCTTTCTGTCAAATAAATAAAATCTTAAAAAAAAAAAAATGAACGTACACTGTCAAGATGGGAGAGCAGCAGGTTCCACCAGTTGGAACCTACCCTGTGTTGTTTTGTGATTGGATATTTGTTGCATCTCTATGGGTTTGGAGAAGCTGCGATGTACTGTGGGTGGTCTCTAACGAGTCTGTTTTCAGTCATTTGGGAGACTCCTCCCATGGATTGGGAGGTGGAGTTTTTGGCCCTACAAGGTTTGTATGGAAAGATCGGGTCTGGGCAGCCTTTCTCCATCCGATGGGGCTGTACCCACAATTCAAATGCTTTATGAGTCTAGGGGTTACCCAGGGGCAAAGGTGGCAGAGGAGAGTGCTTGTTCTGCACCTGTGGCTCTTTAGTTGTCAGCCCCAAGGTCTTGGAAGCCACAAGGTCAGATGTTGTGCCCCAGGCTTTTAATGTGTAGCTGATTTATCACCGTCCTTGCCTCCAGCTCTTATCTGTCATTCCCCTTCAAGGATTGGGAGTCTGCCTCAGGGCATTCCTTCCACTGCTTAGGTCTAGCTTCTACCTAACACTACACCACACTGCCCATGTGTAATTTTATATTGCTCACTGTTACTATGATTGCTTAAAAAGAAGCAATGTGGTTAAGTGTAAGAATTTGGACAAAGCAAGAACAGTAATTTACGTCATTTTGAATTAAACTTCTTTTAAGGGCTACCACTACTGCCACTAAGAAAATGTTCTGGTGTTTAGAAAGGATCCTACTCATTTGTGTTATCCTGTATACCTCATTTTCATAGTAGTGAAGTATGTTGAAAGTGTTCTCAGGTTCTTAAAATGTCATAGCTTAAAATGCTGTTTTGAAAATATATACCATTATATTTAGTAATGCAGGAACTAAGATAAAGTTTCTCTAAAGACAGATCAAGATGGTTTTTTGAAAACCTTTTGAAGTCATAGTATCATAAATCTCTACACATTACAAAACAAAGTATGTATGTATACATTTATATCTATACATATATATAGTATATGTATATATGTATTTTATATTTATATATGTACCTAATGTATATATATACTATATGTGCATTTATATTACGTGTGTGTATTTTTATACTGTGTGTGTGTATATATAGATACATATTTAATTTGACACCATTAATGTTTATTTAAGGCAATGGGGGTGGGAAGAAAGAAAAGAATAGCTTCTTCAGCTCCTGAGTTTCTAGCTGCTTATGAGTTCTGAGTTTATAATCATAGTTTTTTTCTCCTTCTACAAGCAATTCCTTGTTCTCCTTTGCCCTCTGCAGCGTCTTGGCTGGGTGTGTTCTATTTTGCCTAGTGGAATAATCCAAACCTTTATCACTGCAGGGTCTGAGTCTTTGAGAGTACTATATTTGTTACAGTTTTTAATTAATTATGGCTATTTGGCAAGAGAGTAAAAGAGGAACTCAGTGAATCTACGGAGTTCCAGTAATAGTCCTCCTTGGCTTGATTGTGTTGCAGCAACACAGTTTCCTCTTGATAATCACAATTAAGCACTCCAGCCAGTAGCAGAAAGATAATTGAGATTGAAAGTAGTAGATAGTTTAAATGACTGTTTCAGGGTCAAATCACATAGAGTCTGAATTAGAGCAAAAGTATACTCATTCCCAGATTAACTAGGTACGTACTAAAGTAGAACATACTTTAAAAAAATATGGATCAATTAACACATTATGTCATAAGGTACTCTATTTTATAATGGTAGTGAAATGAACATTTATACATGTATAGGAGTACAGTGTTAACTATCTCCTTCCCATGAGGTTGGATTCCTTTATCTTTTTCCTCACATCTCCTTGTTTCTTTTCTCTTCCGTCACCAAAATTTTAATATTTCACATAAAAAGTTTTTAATGTATGTCAACAAATACTCTGGTAGGTGTTTTGTGGTCATGTAGAATGCTTCACATAAAAACATCTCAATGATTCAAAAGAGGTAGCACATTCTTTAAGGGTTTTTTTTTAATACTGCTATTTAATTTTAAAGGAATAAATGCTCATGGTAAGAATATTCAAAAAGTACAGAGGGCATGAGCCCTAAATTCTCTGTTCCCCCCACAACATCCTCATACCCATTCCCCTAGGGGTAAACTTTGTCATTAATTCAGTGTTTATTGTATTTTCTGGAGCAAACATCTACATACAACTTTTAACATTTAAAAACAAAGGGGATTAGGGACGCCTGGGTGGCTCAGACCGTTAAACATCTGCCTTCAGCTCAGGTCATGATCTCAGGGTCCCGGGATCGAGCCCCACACTGGGCTCCTCGCTCAGCAGGGAGCTTGCTTCTCCCTCTCCCTCTGTCTCTCCCCCTGCTCATGCTCTCTCTCTGTATCTCTGTGTCTCAAATGAATAAATAAAATCTTTAAAAAAAATAAAAACAAGGGGGATTATATTATGTATTTCTGCATCTTGTTCTTTTCACTTTAGATCTCAGGGATATTTTTCCATGCCATTATGTGTTGGTGCTCCACATTCTTTACAACTTTCTGGTAACAACTGCAGTGTATCCCATTGTTTGCATTTTATGGTTCTGTCACAGTTTGTCTAGCCAGTTTTCTGTTATGGATACTTAGGTTGTTCTTAATTTTTCACTATTGGAGATAATGTTGCACTGAACATTCTTATACAGGTGTCTGTGTACTATCATAATATTTCCTATATTCTGTGTTTTTTATCCCCTTTAATTTTTTGTAATTTTTATATCTTTAATGGAAGTTTTCTTATTTTTTTTAAAGATTTATTTATTTATGTGTGCGGAAGGGGTGAAAGAATCTCAAGCAAACTCCCCTTTGAGTGCAGAGCCAGACGGGCTCAATCTCACAACCCTGAGATCATGACCAGAGCCGAAACAGGAGTTGGACGCTTAACCAACTGAGCCACCCAGGCACCCCTGTTCTTTTTCAAGATTGCTTTGGCTCTTTGGGGTCTTTTGTGGTTTCATACAAATGTTAGGACTGTTTGTTCTAGTTCTGTGAAAAATGCTTTTAGTATTTTGATAGGGATTACATTAAATCTGTAGATTGCTTTGGGTGGTATTTTAACAATATTTGTTCTTCTAATCTGTTAACATGGAATATCTCCATTTCTTTGTGTCATCTTCAATTTTTTTCATCAGTGTTTTATAATTGTCTTTTTTTAAAAGATTTATTTATTTATTTTGAGAGAGAGAGAGTGAGCAAGTAGGGGGAGGGGCAGAGGGAGAGGGAGAGAGAGACTCTCAGGTAGACTCCCTGCTAGCAGAGCGTGGAGTCTGACATGGGCTGGATCTCACAGTCCTGAGATCATGACCTGAGCTGAAACCAAGAGTCCAGCGCTCAACCAACTGTGCCACTCAGGCACCCGATAAGTGTTTTATAATTTCAGAATACAGGTCTTTCACCTTTTGTTTTTTTAAGATTTTATTTATTTATTTGTCAGAAAGAGAGAGACAGACCACATGCACCCAAGCAGGAGGAATGGCAGGTAGAGGGAGAAGCAGGCTCCACACTGAGCAAGGATCCCAATACGGAACTTGATCCCAGGGTTCTGGGATCACAACCTGAGCAGAAGGCAGACACTCAACTGACTGAGCCAATCAAGCATCCCAGTTTTTCACCTTCTTGGTTAAGTTTATTCCTAGGTAATTTATTGTTTTTGGTGCAATTATAAATGGGATTGTTTTCTTAATTTTTTTTTTTTAAGACTTTATTTATTTGAGAGAGAGAGAGCACGAGTGGGAATGGGGAGGAGTTGCAGAGAGGGAGAAGTAGGCTCCCTGCTGAGCAGGGAACCCAATGTGGGGCTCGATTCCAGGACCCTGAGACCATGACCTAAGCTGAAGGCAGACGCTTAATGGACTGAGCTACCCAGGTGCTCCTATTTTCTTAATTTCTCTTTCTGCTACTTCATTATTAGTGTATAGAAGTGCAATGGATTTATATACATTGATTCTGTATCCTGTGAGACCTTAATGATTTCATTTGTCAGTTCTAGTAGTTTTTTGGTGGAGTCTTGGGCTTTCTATATATAGGATCATGTCATCGGCAAATAATGAACGTTTTACTTTTTCTTTTGTAATTTGGATGCCTGTTATTCCTTTTTCTTATGATTGTTATGCCTAGGACTCCCAGTACTATGTTGAATAAAAGTGGTGAGAGTGGACATCCTTTCTTGTTCTTTTTTTTTTTTAAAGATTTATTTTTATTTATTTTGAGAGAGTGAGAATGAGAGAGAGAGAGAGAGAGCACATGAGAGGAGGGAGGGCCAGAGGGAGAAGCAGACTCCCCGCTGAGCAGGGAGTCTGATGTGGGACTCGATCCCGGGACTCCAGGATCATGACCTGAGCCGAAGGCAGTCGCGCAACCAACTGAGCCACCCAGGCGCCCTCCTTTCTTGTTCTTGACCTTAGTGGAAAAGCTCTTAAATATGATGTTAGCTGTAGATTTTTTATATATGGCCTTTATTATGTGTGATATGTTCGCCCCATACCTGTTTTGTTGAGGGTTTTTATCATGAATGGATGTTGTACTTTGTGAAATGCTTTTTCTTCACCTCCTAACGATCATATGGTTTTTATACTTTCTCTTGTTGACGTGGTGTATCACATTAATTAATTTGCAAATATTGAACCACCCTTGCATCCCAGAAATAAATCCCACTTGATTGTGGTGAATGATTTTTTTTTTTAAGATTTTATTTATTTATTTGACAGAGAGAGACACAGCGAGAGCAGGAACACAAGCAGAGGGAGTGGGAGAGGGAGAAGCAGGCTTCCCGCTGAGCAGGGAGCCTGATGCGGGATTCGAACCCAGGACCTTGGGATCACAACCTGAGCCGAAGGCAGACGCTCAACGACTGAGCCACCCAGGCGCCCGTGAATGATTTTTTTAATGTATTGTTGGTTTTGGTTTGCTAATATTTTGTTGAGGATTTTTGTATATATGTTTGTCAGAGATATTGGCTTGTAGTTTTCTTTTTTTGTTGGGTCTTTATCTGTTTTTTTTTGGTATCACGGTAATGTTGGCCTCATAGAATGAATTTGGAAGGTTTCTGTTCTTTCATATTTTTTGGAATAGCTTGAGAAGAATAGATTTTAACTTCCTTAAATGTTTGGTAGAATTCACCTGTGAAGTTGTCTCATCCTGGACTTTTGTTTGCTGGGAGTTTTTTTTTTTTTTTTTAAGAATTTATTTATGTATTTGACAGAGACCGTGAGAGAGGGAACACAAGCAGGGGGAGTGGAAAAGGGAGAAGCAGGCTTCCCGCAGAGCAGGGAGCCGATGTGGGACTCGATCCCAGGACCTCGGGATCATGATCTGAGCCGAAGGCAGACACTTAATGACTGAGCCACCCAGGTGCCCTGTGCTGGGAGTTTTTTGATCACTGATTCAATTTCATTGCTGATACTTGGTCTGTTCAAATTTTCTGTTTCTTCTTGATTCAGTTTTAGGAGGTTATATGTTTCTAGGAATTTGTTCATTTCTTCTAGATTGTCCAATTTGTTGGCATATAATTTTTCATGATGTTGTCTTACAATCCTTTGTATTTCTGTGTCGTTGGTTGTTAATTCTCTTCTTTCATTTCTGATTTTGCTTACTTAAATCATCTCTTTTTTTGAGGAGTCTGGGTAAAGGTTAATCAGTTTTGTTGATCTTTTCAAAGCACCAGTACCTGGTTTCACTGATCTGTTGTATTGGTTTTTTTAAGTTTCTATATCACTTATTTCTGCTCTAATCTTTATTATTTCTTTCCCTCTGGTTTTTGATTTTGTTCTTTTTTTTCTAGCTCCTTTAGGTGCAGGATTAGGTTGATTATTTGAGATTGTTTTTGCTTCTTGAGTTGGGCCTGTATTGCTATAAATCCCTTTTGGTGCAGTGTTTGTTGCATGCCAAAGATTTTGGACCGTTGTGACTTAAATCTCATTTGTCTCCATGTATGTTTTGATTTCCTCTTTGATTTCTTGGTTAACTCATTCATTGTTTAGTATTCAGCCTCTATGTATGTGTGTTCTTTCCAGATTTTTTCTTGTGGTTGATTTCTAGTTTCATAGCGTTGCAGTCAGAAAAGATGAATGGTGTGACTTTACTCTTCCTGAATTCTTATATGATTATGTAGTGACCTTCATTGTCTCTTCTTACAGTCTTTGTTTTAAAAATCTCATTTGTCTGATATAAGTGTTGTTACCCCAGCTTCCTTTTCACTTCCCTCTGCACGATAAATGCTTTTCCATCCTTTCACTTTCTTTTTTTTTTAAGATTTTTTATTTATTTGACAGAGAGAGATACAGCAAGAGAGGGAATACAAGCCGGGGGAGTGGAAGAGGGAGAAGCAGGCTTCCCGTGGAGCAGGGAGCCCAATGCGGGGCTCAATCCCAGGACCCTGGGATCATGACCTGAGCCGAAGGCAGACGCTTAATGACTGAGCCACCCAGGCACCCCCATCCTTTCACTTTCAGTCTGCATGTGCCTTTAGGTCTTAAGTGAGTCTTTTGTAGACAGCAGATAGATGGTTCTTGCTTTTTTATCCATTGTGTCTCTTGATCGTTTAGTCCATTTACATTCAGAGTAATTATTGATAGGTATGTACTTATTACCATTTTATTACTCATTTTAGGGTTGTTTTTGTAGTTCTTCTATGTTCCTTTCTTCTCTGTTCTCTTCTCTCACAGTTAGTTGACTTTCTTCAGTTATAAACTTGGAATCCTTTCACTTTATTTTTTTGCAATCTGTTACTGGTTTTTGATTTGTGGTTACCTTTATGTTTATATCTATGCATATACCTTTATGTATATATCTATGCATATATAGCAGTCTATGTTAACTTGATGGTTGCTTAGGTTTGAACCCATTCTTTACTCTCCCCTCGCCATGTTTTAGGCATATGGTGTCATATTTTACATCCTTATGTTTTCTGAATCCCTTGACTGATTTTTACACATACACTTATTTTTACTGCTTTTGTGCTTCCCACTTTTCTTACTCCTACTTAAGATCTTTCCTTCCCACTCAAAGAGTCCCCTTTAACATTTTTTGTAGGGCTGGTTTAGTGGTCAAGAATTCCTTTTAACTTTGGGAAACTTTCCATTTATCCTTCTATTCTGATGATAGCTTTGCTGGATGGAGTATTCTTGGCTGCAGATTTTTTTTTTCTTTCAGCACTTTGAATATATTATGCTACACCCTTCTAGCCCTGCAAAGTTTCTGCTGAAAAATGCACTGATAGTCTTATGGGGTTTCCCTTGTATGTAATTGTCTTCTCTTGCTGTTTTTGTTTTGTTTTGTTTTTTAAGATTTATATATTTATTTTAGAGAGAGAGCGCACACATGCATGCTAATGGGTGAGGGGCAGAGGGAGAGAATCCTCAAGCAGACTCCCCACTGAGCACGGAGCTGATGCAGGGTTGTATCTCACCACCCGTAAGATCATGACCTGAGCTGAAACCAAGAGTCAGACACTCAACCAACTGAGCCACTGAGGAGCCCCATCTCTTGCTGTTTGGAAACTTCTCTTGTTATCACTACTTTTTGCTGTTTTAATTATGTGTGTTGGTTTAGACTTACCTTGACCACATTTCTACTCTTCCTACCCTCTTCCATCTGGCCTCTTCCCTACATTTAGCTGTGGAGAGTCTTCCAGTCATTTTCTGGGTTATTTACACTGATGTGGTTGTTATCTAGTTGTATCCATAGGAGGAGGTGAGGCCAGGGTCCTCCTACTCCACCATCTTCCTTAGAAGTGCCCACGAATTATACAGAATCTTAATTAGCTCAGTCAAATAGATTCCCAGTCCATGGCACATTAGAAGCAGTTTATCAAAAAGGAGGTATGAGAACTACAGGTAACAAGAACACTACCACAAAGTGCAAGATACAAGTACTGATAGAATTACGGCTATAAGCACAGAGAAGTAAGAGAAGTGAAAACTTTGAGTAGCAGTAGTCTCACTAGTAAGTATTGGTTTAGTAATGTTAGAAGTGATATTAGCTACTCCATAATTTGTGCAGATTAAGCATAGCGTTAATCTTACATAAGAATAAAGGTGGAGGGAAGGATGAGAAGGTTTCTTCTAGTCCTCTCTACCCATAGGAAGAGTCATAGAAGTCTCTCTTTCTGTGGACTGAGACATAAAGGGGAATAAGGTATTGCCCTAATTTCATGTTGCTCACAGATTATATACAATTTATAAAAATAGAAGTAAACTAAGAGAAAGCTCCAGCAGTGTACAGTCTTATTCACTGTTGAATCCTCAGAGTTCATTCCAACATCTATTATTTGTTTAGTAAGTAACTGATTAAGTGGATGAAACAAAGCTGAAAAGTAATGGTAAATTGAAAACTAAGTTATAACCCATCTTTGACAAATTGGTGGAAAACCATGTTTTTATAGATGATATTTAAGGAAATCTATTAAATGAAACCAAGTATATTTGTTTGCATTTTGTCTGTATTCCAGAGATGTTTAGATCATTGTGCATACTGCTATTCAATAAGATGCTGTATTCTTAGAAAATCATTAATGATAGAGCTGCCTGTTAACCCAGGTTATCATACAATCTGTATAAGCAGTACACCTTGATTTTGCACTCTAATTCTTTTGAAGGTGGTTCTGTTTTTTAATAGAACATAATTAATCACTTTTTTTTAGTAAACCCTTAAGTACCTTTAATTTAGCTATGCTTTTGACATATATTTTAAAAAATGAAATGAAATGTTTTTATTTTGTAGAAAATGGCTCTCTCTACATAGTGATGGATTACTGTGAAGGAGGCGATCTGTTTAAACGAATTAATGCTCAGAAAGGCATTTTGTTTCAAGAGGATCAGGTGAGTTAGCTTGTAGAAGATTGACTCTTAACTCCATGTTATTCAGAAGCAATTCAGAATTTATATATATATTTATTTGTAACTACAAATTCTTAATTATAATTACTAGGACAGTTTGGTATCATTCTAATATCTCAGTTACATTTCTGTCTAATTAGCTTCCACCTTAGTCATTTCCCCATCTCATTTCCTGTCTGTAATAATATTATTGTATTTGTAATATATGTTATATCCTTTGTGTGTGTATAAATACATATGTTTATGTATATAGCCTAATTATTCATTATAACTAGTTAATTATTCTATAGTCTATCTTGCTTTCTGCTGCCAGGCCACATTTTCCTAAAATGTGGCTTTCCTAGGTAATTCCATTTCTGGAAGCCTTGCATTGGCAACTGCATTAAATATAATCTCTGTTTTGACCTCAAGGATCGCTAAAATATGACCTTATCCTACCTAAGCAGTCTTATTTTTTTTCTAGTGTTACCTAATGTGCACCCCCTTTTCATTTATTTAACGGATATTCATTGAGCATTCATTTTGTTAGGGACTGTTTGTGTTACTGACACATGCTTATGTATCTCATTCTTCTTCCTATGTATTTATTCTATTATTTCTTTTATTTTGGTAACATTTTCCTGCCAACTCTCTTACTAATATTCTACCTTTTTTTTTTTTACAGCTCAGCTCAAATCTCAGCCTTTCCTTTGATTTTCATAACCACTCTAACTAATCTTCTGTGATCTTTTCCTTATCTAAATTTCTATGGCATTTCTAATTATCACCCATTCTTAATTTTACTTGCATGCTTTTACATAAGGGAATGGGGGGAACACTGTACTAGGAGTGTTGTATTTGTTGTCTCTTTTAAATTTTATACGCCATGAATTGGTGTAGTTTATTTAATAGATAAGAAATCTATCATATGGTCAGTGTTTGAACCTACTTTTAACTCCAAAATTTATTAAATATTTGTTTACAAACTTAAATTGTAAAATTATTAAAAAGATCAGAAATGGAAATAATTCTTTGCCCACGGTTCCATCCCTAAAGATTACCACTGTTTTTAGTTTGGTGCATTCTCCAGACTTTTTTTTCCATACTTTTGCATGTAAATATATAAATCAAGGCACACATATTTAGAAGGGGGATATTATACATAGCATACTCTATCTTGCTTTTGTCACTTAAAAATTATCTTGAGGGGCGCCTGGGTGGTTCAGGTGTTGGGCATCTGCCTTCGGCTCAGGTCATGATCCTGGTGTCCTGGGATCGAGCCCCACGTCAGGCTCCCTGCTTGACGGGAAACCTGCTTCTTCCTCTCCCACTCCCCCTGCTTGTGTTCCTCTCTTGCTGTGTCTCTGTAAAATGGATTAATAAAGTCTTTGAAAAAAAGAAAATATATCTTGATTATCCCAACCTATAAATAGAACAAACTGATGGTTGTGAGGGGAGAGAGAGTAGGGGGAGAAGGGCAAATGGGTGAAGAGCAATGAGAGATACAGGCTTCCATTTGTGGAATGAATAAGTCATTGGAATAAAAGGCACAGCATAAGGAATATAGTCCGTGATATTGTAATAGCAGTGAATGGAGACAAATGGTAGATACACTTGTGAACATAGCGTAATGTACAAACTTGCCAAATCACTATGTTGTACATTTGAAACTAATGTAACACTGTGTGTCAACTATACTCAAAACAATTTAAAAGTAAGGAAAATGTTACTTATAATACAGGAAAAAATGCAGCTTTAATTTAAAAAATTATCTTGATTATTGTCACATGTCCATTTGTGTAGATCATTTATATTAGTTTTAATAGCTGCATTATATCCCATTCTAGCAAGACCTGTGCTTTTTTGTTTTCACTTTTATCTTCAGGTTCCATTTCCATTTCATTTCTATCCCTAGGCTGCTATTTTAATATCTTTAGTGAATACCTGTGTATTTTTGCAAAATGGCTATCATTGTCTTGTATTTTTAAATGCATATTTGTTGTGTTTTATCTCATTCAATTCTACTTTTCCCCTTAGTACTGTTTCTTATCCATTTGCTTTGCTTTCTGTGCCTTTGTTGCTGCTGCTATATAATGCTCCATTGATGATCCAAGTCTACACTTACTTTTACTGCATCATGCACCCTTAATGTATGCTGAATAATTTCACATTAGAATTGTTTCCCCAACAAGGTTGTAATTTACTATAGAACAGAGATTACAGTTTTCACTAATGTCTGCTCAGCTGTGTCCATAAATTGGCACAACTAATAAATTGATAATACTGTGTAGATGGGGACTTTTAGCTTCTTGGGAGTAACTTGGTAATATGGTAAGGTTCTGAAATCTTGGGTTATATTTTAGTTAAGTACCCTATTAGTTAAATAGGATAATGTCATACTTCTCACTTTACTTATCCTGTTTCCACAATTAAGCCTATTAGACAAAGCACAGAACTTCAAAACTTGAGTTTGAGTCATTGTTCTGCTTATTAGCTTGGTAATTGTTATGTTAACAAATGACTTAACTATTTTGAGACTATTTCCTCATTCATTAAGAGGGATATTCATACCACATAGCCAACTTCACTGTTGTGGTGAAGTCAAATAGTAATATATGTTAGTGTAGAGAGTGCTATTTTTTATTAGAATTTTATTTAATACCTTCCATTGCTTGTGCTTACGTTTATTCTTTGTGTTTATTGGACTTTAAAATGCTTACTTTTAGATTTCATAACATTCTCCTATAAAGTACATTGATAGTCTGTGGATTTGGTTCTGCAGTTGGATAAATGTTCTTGGTACATAATGATGTATATGTGTGTATACATATTATGTATCTTGTTATCCCAGAAATTATTATGGAGATCCACTCTATGTACTTTTGTCCATCTCTGAGATTATTCCATGATAAACAATGAGAATTTGGCAAGTCTTTCTTTTAAGTTAATAGCATTTTTCTACCCTTCAGAATGATGTTTTGTTAACACAAATGACATTATTTATTTTAGCCTATTTGAAATGGGAATTATTTAAAGAGAAACATCCTCCTCCTACTACTACATCCTACTACTTTCTGGACTTTGGAGCTGAAAAACATAAAGGCCAGAGGCTATTTTTTGTTTTGGAATGCAGGGTAGCATGAGTCTGAGATGAATTTTGTCCATTTCTAGAATAGAAGTGGGAAGAATGAGACCTCTGAAACAAGATGATTCTCCAGCTACTCAAGCCATTCTCTTCAGTGATCCTTCCTTGTTGGCATCTTTATTGGACAAAAATCTAGTTGAGTTAGGAAACAATCTAAGTCTATGACTTTTAATCAGTACTAAGCAGTGGAATGAACTAAATAATCCTTGGATGGCCTTTGCCCACATAAATATTTAAAAGATTTCCCACTATTTTTGCTTATTTCTAAGTTTTGGATAAATTTTCTGATAGTCTGTTCTCTTTTGATCATAAATAATTTCCAAATGTATACTTTTTTTAAAGGAAAGAGTCATCTCACATGGGTTTGCCCTAATATTTAGGTTCAGTGATAGTGTTAATTAAGCATATAAATACCTTGAGTTTTCTCTGAAAATCTAGAGCCCTGCAGTATCTGGCATCTACTAAGGCTGCAAAATTGATTTCTGTCCAGAAGTTTTCATAAGGATCTTGGATTAAAAAAATAAAAAACTATTATTTTCTTTTCTATCTTAAGGCCAGTACATTCTCCAGCAGATTTCACCTGTGGTATCTATAAATTTGGGTGATTTTCTTTATTCCTGAAGGTTTCCAAATCTGCCATGGTTTTTGGCTAGTAGGAAATGACCTTGCCACCTGTGATTCTGAGACCTTGTAAGTTAGGTACTAGGGGAGTTTCCTGGCAGTGTGATATAGGAATTGGTTCCATATATCTTTCTAGTGTGGGCTTGTCATAACTGAATGAAAATCATTTTTAAGATATTCCAGGTATGACCTTGGTTGCACAATTGATTAGTTATATAGGTAAAAAGAGTATAAATTCTTTTTATTTGCTTGGTAATTGTTATGTTAACAAATGACTTAACTATTTTGAGACTACAAACTTAAATTGTAAAATTATTAAAAAGATCAGAAATGGAAATAATTCTTTGCCCACGGTTCCATCCCTAAAGATTACCACTGTTTTTAGTTGAGCCTGGTCCGGGGCTCGAACTCATGACCCTGAGATCACGACCTGAGCCGAAAGCAAGAGTCGGATGCTCATTTTACTGCAACACCCAGATGCCCGAAGGAGTAGATTCTTATTGAACTGATGAAAATTACAGTATTTTCCTGAAAAGTAAAACTCAGTATAACTGTTTGTTTCTGAATTCTGAGTGGGTCAGAATCGGATATTACTTTAAGATGTGATAATTCAGTTTACAAAAGCATAATCTACTAAGTTGAAGGTTAGAGATGATTCTTAAGAAGAAAAAAAATAGACTTCACGTATTCATTAAATACAGAATAGAACATTAAGAATAATACCAATCAGGGGCACTTAACCAACCAATCAGTTGGTTAAGTGTCGGCTTTTGGCTCAGGTCATTGGGATTGAGTCCCGCATCAGGTTCCCTGCTCAGTGGGGAGTCTGTTTCTCCCTCTCCCTCTGCCCCTTTGCTAGCTTGTGCTCTCTCTCTCTTTCTCAAATATATAAATAAAATTTAAAAAAAGAATAATACCAATCATATTCCAAACAAGTACCCACAATTTAATTTCATTTAATTCAGTTCATTCAGTCCTAGTAATTCTTATCCAGCCGGGTGTTGGGGCACTTTGCTTTCATCATGTATGTCAGCTTCTGGTCTATAAAAAAAGTCTTAGAAATCTTGACTCAGTCCATTGTCCACTTAAGCAATGTCAGCTCTGAAGCCTGTACTTAAGAGTCTATTTTTTGAAGTATCAATACTTCAGTGGTCTTAGTATAGTCCTTTCCAGGAGCCTCTGGTCAGCAAGAAGCAAAAGTCTGTTTGATAATGAGACTGAAAATCTGGTTAATTTA